TGCCACCTCTAATACTTCATTCCCAGCGATGGATGCATTCTCCAGAAGAGCGATGGAAGTACCTTTGATTAAAAGTTAGTTGTTTCAAAGGAATTCTGTGATGGTCTCCATAATAAGAATTCTGTTAGTTAATACTATACATTTCTCAAAATATTCAGATAGGCCTGTATAACTTAGTCTGATTTTTACCTGTTCCCCGGAAGGACTACAGCCATGTTTCCTTCTGTCAGATACACACCACCTCTTCTAAACAGTTTTTAATGGTAGGCAGCAAAAGTTGAATGAAAAGTAATATACTTAGAATAATTTAGAACTCAGAACTCCACCTGAGCATCTTTCTTCTACTACAGAAATATTTTTAAATGGGGAGGGAAAGGAAGACACACATCCTAATCCATGGCCTGGTGCATTGAAATTGAGAATATCCCTAATCTCTATAAAGAAGTGTGAAATACTACATTCAAGTACAAGTTTGTGTATGCCTGCATATATATATACACACACTTAAATGAAAATACTAATACTGCTACAAGTAATAAACTGGAGTGAAAACAGGTTTCCTCTGTATTCTGAAATTTAGCTCTATGTGGAATCTTCTCATTTCATGGGGGAAAAACGTTTTTGGAGTTGCTTTTTAATAGATACAAATATTCTAAACATTACATCTTTGAGAAATCAGTAAGACAGGATCACCTATTAATACTGTACATACATGCTTAAAACTGTTGTAAACAGTAATTCAAAATGTCTGGTTTCTGCACTCATACAGACAGGGAAATCTTTATTTTTAGTGTAAAATTCAGTAAGAGGTAAAAGGTACGTACATCACCAAACATGTATAGAAGCGATCTATGGAAACCTGGGGTTTCATAGTATTTATTTATAAGCAGCATATTAAATACTTGAAAAATATTATGTTCTTGCAAACGTGTTCTCCTGTGAATGTTCTCAATATGTGAAATGCTTGTTTTAGTAAATGATTGCATTTAAATTTTCAGTCTTATTTGTTAAGCTTTTTTACGTTCAGGGAAACTGAACC